ATTGGGTACACTGCTATTTGGTGCATATATATTTATAATTCTTATCTCTTCCTCTTGGATTGTTCTTTTTACAAGGATGTAGTGACCTTCTTTGTCTCTCTTAATCAGTCTTGGCTTGAAGTCCACTTTGTCTGCAAATAGAATAGCTACCCCTGTTTTTCCCCAGGTTCCTTTCACCTGGAATATTGTTTTCCATTCTTTGATTTTCAGTCTATGAATTTCTTTTTGAATTAAATGCATTTCTTGTATGCAGCCTATTGTTGGATCTTGGTTCTTGATCCATTCTGCCAGTCTGTTTGTTTTAATTGGTGAATCGAGACCATTAACTTTGATGGTTATAACTGATAGCCAGTTATAACCAACTGATTGACTTATCTCGGTCATGTTATTTTCCTGTTGTTGGCTCCCTTCTTTCCTCCTCTGTTTAATTTCTTGCCTTGTCTGGTGGATTTATTCTGTTGGGGTTCGTGGAGTTGTAATCCTTGTTATCTCTTTTTAGAATATCCTTCAGAGCACTTTGGAGTGCTGGTTTGGTGTTCATTAATTTCCGCAGCTGTTCTTTGTCATGGAAGTATCTTACTTCTCCATCAATTTAAAAAGTTTTGAAGGGTACATCAATCTGGGTTGGAGGTTGTTTTCCTTTAGGGCTTGAAATACTTCACTCTAAGCTCTCCTTGACTTGAGGGTTTGTGTTGAGAAGTCTGTTGTGATTCTGATGAGCTTTCCTTTATAGGTGATTTCTTTCTTTTCTCTAACAGCTTTTTTTTTTGGTACCGGAGATCGAACTCGGGTCCTTCTGCTTGCAAAGCTGGTGGCGGAAGCACTGAGCTAAATCCCCGGCCCTGGTACTTGTAACCCGATTCTTTTGGCGGGGGGGGGGGGGTACTGGGCATCAAACTCTGGTCCTTGCGCTTGTGGGGCAGGTGGCCGAACCACTGAGCTAAATCCCCAGCTCTAACGGCTTTTAATATTCTGTTCTTTTGTTGGATTTCTCAGATCTTGACTATTGTATGCCTTGGTGCAGATTTTTCTTGATCATGGCTAATTGGAATTCTATATGCCTCACTTATCTGTATGTCAAATTCTTTTTCCCTGTTTGTGAAGTTTTCTCCATTACTCTGTGAATTGTTTTTTAATGTCATTTGCACTATCTCTTACATTTTTATTGACTCCAATCAATCTTATATTATTCTTCTTTGCATAATCTAGCAGCTGCTGGATTGATTTCTCATAGACCCCTGCTATTTTTAAGAAATCTTTCTTTTTATTATCACCAACTGCAACCCTGTTTTCTATATCTGATATTCTATGCTCACATTGGCCATTTTGCTGCATACACTTTCAAAGGAATTTTTAATCTCCTGGATATCTGAATCTGTTTCATGGATTCCCTTTCCTATACTAGGTGTTCATGGTTTCCATCATTTTCCTAAGCTCCTCTAATTTTTTAATCTATATCTACTCTAGTCACTAAAAATGTCTTTCTTTTTTTTTAGAAAAACATTTATTGGTTCATTTTAGATATACATAACATTCATCATAGGGAATTTGTACCAGTATATGATATATCTTGCTTCTTTTTTTTCCCCATTCTTCCCTCCCTTATGTACTAAAGCTTTGTTTTCATTTTTTCATTCTATTTTCTCTTTTTTTTTTTTTTTGCTTTTCCCTTCTTTCCTTTCTAACCCTCCCCCCTCCCTTGTTCTTATCATTTGAACATTTTCTTCCCATTTCCCAATCAATATCTGTTGTACATTTTAGTCCTTATTTCCACTTTTGGTTTCTCACACCAGAGAAACATAAGCATGTCTTCCGTTATGGTCACCATCTCTGTAGTTATATGAGAAATAATCTCTGCTTTGATTTTTTTTTCTAGAGCCTTGTTCATCTGCTTTGTTAATTTCACTGTTACCATTTCAGAGAGTTCATGTGGGTGGCTTTTGAATTGTTCCACCTCATTACCCTTTGAGTTTGCTTTTGATGAGTTGAAATCCTGGGGTTGCATCTTGTTTAAGTATCTTCTCATTTTCTTTCTTTTTTCTTTTTTTCTTCAGTTTAATTGGTGGGTTGATGTTTGTAAACTGCTTATGGCAAGTAGCTTGATTGCTAGTATTTAGAACCCTTAGGACGTGACTACTTCTCAGAGATGTCTTCCAGGTTTAGCTGGCTTTTGGGTTTTTGAGTCTATTGAAAGATCTTACCTCTTCAATTTATTGGGGATGAGAAGTTGCTGTGTATTTGGCCTATCCCCTGGTTTTTTTTGGCACTAGCCTATAGTATAGTATTTTTTAAGACCCTTGGGCAATCTCAGTCTTGGTAACCCAGGAAGAACAACTGATTAGCACAATTATGTCACCTTGGTTAAAGTAGTACAATCAGCAATAACAGTAGCATCAAATACAGCCTAGAAAATGACAATGAACTAGCTTTGTACTTATATGATAGAATTAAAAATAATCAGAAAAATATATGCAGTAAATAACCCCTAATTTGGCAATTTTACCCTCAGGAGGGAAAATTTAAAAGAGGTTGGGGGGAAGAAACAGAAATAAGGAAAGAGGAAGAGATTAGAAGCAAGGCTGGAGGACAGAGGAAGGTAACTCAGACTTTGGGAAACTGGTGAAGAAGATAGAAGAGAAAGAGAGAAGGAAGAAATAAAAACAAGAACAGAACCGAATGACACAACAGCAAAAAAAACCACAAACTGTGTTCACACTCCTATAAAAAAGCAATCAAGAAGAAACAAAACAAAAACTACAAAAGAGAGAAAAAAAGAAAAGAAGAAAAAACAAATGTCCACTTCCAGGCATATCTCTGCTGTTACTGGTAGACAACATGGACAGAGTTCAGATCTGAGTTGATTAATCCCAGCAAGCCAGCTGTAGAGTGGATAATCCCAGTAAGCCTGCACCTTTAGTTCCACTGAAGCTCAGGCTTCTTTCTTGCTGTGAGGCTGGAACTGGATTTGTTGAGTCTGCTACAGTCCATTTCCCTCCTGCCAGCTTGAACTTGGTTCACTCACAGCTTTAGCCCGGAGTGTCCTTCCTAGCATCCAAGTTTAGCTAGCGGTTTGTCTGTTTGCTTGCTTGCTTGTTTTGTTTTCCCAACACTTGCCACATCCAATATAAAGAATTAGATTCTAACTCTCCAGATTTCTGATTATCATCTAGTCATGCAGTTGATGATCAAGCTTTATAAATTATCAGCTCACTCCTCCCCCTCTTTCTCTTTCTCTCTCTTTCTCTTTCTCTCTCCCTCTCTTGCTCTATTTTTTGTAGTATTGGAGATTGAACTTAGATCTTGTGCATGCTAGGCAAATGCTCTGCCACTGAGCTACATCCCCAGCCTTAGTAGGTTCTTCGTTTTACAAAAGAATCACCATGTAGTCTTTTTAAACTTTAGCAAGCCATTTACAAAAAACAAGTGCTTTTAAATGTGATTCTGAAATTTGATTTTAAATTTCACAGATAATCTTTAGCAACATAACTATTGCTTGGTTAGTAAAAATTTTTATTTTTTGTGTCTATGTATATTTTAAGCTTTATTTTAATGCAATACACATATATATTAAGAAAAATATTGCTTCTATGAAAAAATAAAACAAATTTTCATAACAAAAGAATTAGAGTAACAGTGGTTAATACACTGTGTATCGTGATCTTAAAGGAATGGCCAAAATGTTACTCAGACTATAAGTTGTAAAAAAAGACTCTTACAAAAAAACAAGCAAAAGACAAAACTTTCTTTTCAATGAACAAAAAATAACTAGTAGTATAAATGAAACAAATCAGCATTTATCTTAAAATATTTTTGAAACAACAGAATAGGTAATTTGGGGAGCTATTTGAACTTCTCCCTACTTCCCATTTATCTATCATCTATTTTGATGTATTTTTTTAGTTTTTGATATAAAAGAAACCATGTGATATTTAAGCTTGTGTATTTGACTTATTTCACTTAACATTATGTTCTCAAGTTGCATCCATTTGCCTATGAATACCTCAGGTTTATCTTTCTTTATGTCAGAGTAGTACTCCATTGTGTATAAATACATTTTCTTTATTCATTCATAGATTGATGGATATATATCCTGTTTCCAAGATTTAGCTATACGTATATTTTAATTAAAATTTTTATCCAATTAAAATACATATAAAGTTTAGCTCTTTAACTTTTTTTGGTGAGGGTTTGAGACATGGGCTTACTATGTAGCCCAGGCTGGCCACAAACTCACAGAAGTCCTCCTGCCTCAGTCTCCAGGTGCTGGAATTACACTAGGCATCACCACATCTGGCTAGGTTTTTGCTTTTCTGATTTTCGGTAATCAGCACTCGACTGCCTGTCCAAGTCAGGGCAGCATGTTCATATCCTGGTAATGTTTTCAGTGGCTAGAGGCCAATCCTGATGCTTTACCTTCCCTCTGTTCTGCTGTGGTCAGAGGATCCCATTAATCTTTACCCCCACTTGGGGGTGCGGGATGAGCTGTCTTAAGAGAATTCATGAGCTTTATGATAATTGAAATAACTCATCACTTCCCTTTTCCTGCATAGCAGGCCAGGCCTCCTTCATGCCTGTTTCCTGGTAGAACAGGTGGATGTGATCAGTCATTCTGTGACGCGCATTTCTGTCCTTTACTTCAGATACAGTATTGAGATAGATGAGTGTTATGAGATCTTGCTTTGGAGCCAAGTTACGCCCTGGGGATTTTAGTTAGGCTAAAATCCATCAAAGATATTAAAAAGAGTATATGAGATCAAGAGGTAAATTAGCTCTTGAGCTATTGACTGTTCTCCCACAATATTAGTATTCCATATTTTCATTGCTGTTGGGTACTTACTTTGTGTGATTTAGTGTTTGGGCAGCTTTCCACCTGGACAGAAAAACTGCAGTGTACTGAAAAAATTATATATCTGGTCTCTACTGCTTTCTTAGTCAACTCTTTGGAGCCAGCAGGCTTTATTTATTCCTTGGGGAAGTCATCCTGTGGATTTTATTTTCAGGTGATCTTAAAGGGCAGCAAGGAGCGCAGCACTGGGGCCACTGGAGTTAACGCGGATTCCTCCCGCTCCCATGCTATCATTCAGATTCAGATCAAAGATTCAGCCAAGAGGACATTTGGCAGGTGAGCTGGAAATATGCAAGGAACTGCATTGTCTGCCTTTCCTCAATGTGACTTTGAAATATTTGTTATCAACAACAGGACATCTTCCCATCATGGAGTCTTCATTTTGGGGATACAGAGTAGAGTTGTTAGCCTTGAAATAAATCATTGTACTAAAGTGCCATCAGTTGATTAACCATGAAGTAATGACCTATTGTTGGTCAACCCTGTTATTAAAAGGGACATTGATTGCTTCTAATGTGAAACACAGTATCAGCAGAGAAACAGCAGGGACTATGTCTCAGAGAGTTTACGACCCATGAAGAGGATGGAGGATTAATCCATTCTTAAAAGAAGCCATAAGACAATTGGATATGTTCATTGCTTCTCTGGTGCTGTCTTAGCAAACCCTGCCACATTGATGGATGAGCCTATCTCACCTCTGAATAATGAGTCTGCTTTATTTTCCTTCTCTTTCCTCTTTTCTTTTTTCTTTTCTTTTCTTTTCTTTTCTTTCTTCTGGAAAGCAGCCCACAGAAGTTTCTATTTAATTATCTAAGTGGTGGCCTAAGTGATTTGTATTGTGGTCATTTACCCACGGGAAGAGAGTACTTTATTAATTTCAGTCATACTTTCTCATAGATGATTAGAACTGATGGAAGTGTCTGAGTGAACAGTGCCACCATCACCTGACAGATCAGAAATTTATGATGTTTTTGGAAAATTGATATGAATGTCTTTTCTTTCCTAAGGAAGAGCTAGTGTTAATTTCTTCCTGAAGTCACAAAATGTTGAATAATGTAAAAATAAACCAAAGCCTTGAGGAAGTAATTCCTGCTGTGTCTTTTCTCTAGGATCTCTTTCATTGACTTGGCTGGCAGTGAAAGAGCAGCAGATGCCAGGGATTCGGATAGACAGACAAAGATGGAAGGTGCAGAAATAAACCAGAGTCTTCTGGCTGTAAGTTACTTAAAATCTAAAAATCCTTCTTGAGAGATTTTCCCCCTGGCATGCAGCCAGAGTGGGCAGGGCAGGGTGGAATCCACAGTGCAGCAGGCATGCTGTCACCTGGCAATGGGATTCCAGGACTGGAGATAGAGCCCACCCATCAGTCTTGGCCATGCTAGGTAACTTCTCTTCCTTTCACCCTTCCCTACCAATTAGGAATAGAAATGTTTCTCCACTTATTAAATGGTTAACTTAGTAAGCCTTACACATTTCTCCAAATTTTAAAACTGTATTCTTCAGGAGAGGGGACAGGAGGGTAAGATGATAAAAATAGAATTAAGATATATCATGTACATGTACCAGCTCCCCGTGATGAATATAACCATTATGTACTACAAACATGTACTAATAAAAATAATTAAATAGTGCTCACTTCGTCAGCACATATACTAAAATTGGAACGATACAGAGAAGATTAGCATGGCCCCTGCGTAAGGATGACACGCAAATTCATGAAGCATTCCATATTTTAAAAAAATAAATAAGTAAGTAAGTAAATAAATAAATAAATAAATAAATAAAAGAAATCTACCTTAGGGGCCAGGGATTTAGTTCAGTGGTTCCGCCACCTGCCTCTCAAGCGTAAGGTCCCAAGTTCGATTCCTGGTACCAAAAAAAGAAGAAAAAAAAAGAAATTTACCTTACCTAAATAAATAAATAATTGTATTCTTCAAACATACAGAAATACAACAAAAGTGTAATGATCCCCATATGCTTGTTATCCCACTTCAACAGTTATCAACATTTGAAAAACCTAACCAACCCTGTCCTTCCCCTAGTTGGATTATTTTAAAGGAAATTGTAGTCAACAAATCATTTCTTCTATAAATATGTCATAATATATCTCAAAGAGTAGGACATTTTTTTAACATATCCATAATACTATTATCATACATATCTTTTGTCAAGTATTATAATTTCTCCTAAGTTCCCATAACTGTCTTTTTATAGTTGAATTGTTCAAATCAAGGTACAAACAATATCCTTTATCACTTCTTCCCTTTTTTTTCTTTCCCTATTATCAGTGTATTTGTTTTTTTAAAAAAATTAAATTATTTGTCCTGTAAGATTTCCTACCTTCTGGACTTAGCCAGATGACTGCTTCCCATGTTGTTTAACATGTTATTCTATCCTGTATATTTCCTATAAAATGGTTAAAATCTATACTGTGCTGTGCACTGTAGCTAGTCTAAATTGAGATATGCTGTAAGTGTAAAACACACACTGGATTTTAAAGACTTATTACCCAAAAGAAACATGCAAAATATCTCATTGATATTTTTTCATATTTATTACATGCCAAAGTAATACTTTGGGTGTAGTGGGTTAGATGAAATATGTAATTATCATTCATTTCACTTGGCATAAACCATTTCTCCAAGGGGCTTTAACACTAATGTATTGTTAGCATTTACAATATGCCAGTCAGTTTAATTTTCCCAACAACTCTGTGAGGTGAGTTAAGCAAGTTCTCTTTTCCCTACTTTTTTTTTTTTTTTTTTAGGAAAAATTTATTGAGAGAAAGAAAGATTCTGTCTAAGAGAGACAAAAGGGGTACCGTAAAGTGGGCTGCCCGCCCACCCCACTCTACCAAGATGTTTTATACAGCAAAACCATGGGGTGAGGCGGGTACAAAGTGGGACAAAACTCTAAGACCCAATGGAAATTTACAAAGTGGCATGAGATGGGGCAAAACCATGACTAGCCAATAAGATTACAAGTACTGTCACCCAGCTAATATTGATTAAATGGGGGTCAAATGGGGGAGCAAGTCACATAGCAAGCGTACAAAGATTTTCAGTAAGGGTGGGTCAGCCCTACCTTTTAGATTAGCATTCTTAGACAAAGTGAGTTGAATATATTGGCCATGGGTCTATACCATCCAACCAAAATTCTTTGATTCTGATAGCTTTTTTTTTTTTTCCCATTAAGTTTATTGGTACATTTTCGGTATAAAATACAGTTACATTCATCATTGGGGTCTTGCACCATTACATGAGTATCTTGGTTCTTAATTTTTTTTCCCCTTCCCTTGCCCTCCCTTCACCCCCTCCACCCTTCCCTATTTGCAAAGACTTTGTTTCCTTTTTTTTCCTTTTCTCAAATTTTTTCTTTTCCCTTTTTTCCTTTCCCCTACCCCTCCCACTTCCCCTGCTCCTTTACACCTTTACTTCTTGTTACACAGTATGAATTATACATTTTTTAAATTAAAATATCAAGATCTAGGAGACATTACCACAGATTTTACAGAATTTAAAAGGATACAGAAAGCATATTTCAAAAATCTGTTTTGAAATAAATTTGACAACTTCTAAGAAGTAACTTGGAAGACAAATTAATGAAGCTAACTCTGGAGGAAATATAAAATTTGAATAGCACCTATTAAAAAACGTATATTCCTAGCTTGAAAACCTACCTATATGACAACAGCAGGCTCACATACATTTTAACTGATAAATTATATCAAACCATTAAAGCAGAAAAAAGAAGAAACACTTCTCCCCTCATTTTAGGAAATCAACATTGTGCTAATCCTAAAACTGGATAAAGATAATAGAAGAAAA